CAGATTTGCGAAGGATTCTCATCAAAGCTTCGTTCTCTTGCTTGATTCTTGAGGTATGGGTCCTAGTTCTTCTTCAATGCTTCCATAAATAGATAGAATTGTGGTATTTTGATTATATACATATGAAACCCACATTTTTTAGCATATAGTGTACATCATGAGATTTGGAGGTTTAGGGTTTGAAGTATTGGGGGTTCAATGGTTGGATTAATATGGTGGATTATGAACCTTAGGTGTATAATCAAGAGGGAAATTGGAATTAAAAGTGGTGGTTTAAGAAGGTTGAATTTTTGTTGAAAATCTTAATTTTTCTTGAAAACCCTAAGTTGATTCATTATGATAATTAATGATTTTGCCCAAATTGAAAGTAGAATCATGAAATTGGTAGGTTGAATTATATACGTACAAGTTTAATTGGATTTTGGAGATGTTTCAAAATTATGTTAAAAATTAGTGATTGAACTCTTATTATGAACATTGTAAATCATGCTATAATGTGAAAGGAAGAATGGAGAAAATGATTTATTAATGATATGGATGACATATACTTGGTTATGGAATGTTGCAATGGGATTTAAGAATTTATCTTGAATTATGTTGAATTGCAAATAGTGTTGTTGAACTAAGTGATGTTGAATTTTGTTGAATTATGTCGTGTTGGATAATGTTGAATTGAATGGTGTTGAACTATGATGAATTGTGTTTGAATCATGTGAATTGTGTTGAGTTGAGTTGTGTTGGGTTTATTGAGTTTGGGTTGGGTTGAGTTGTGTTGGGTGGTGTTGTGTTGGTACCCGCGCGAGGAGTTGAAAATGATTTTAAAAATTGAAGAAAAAGGTTTTTGGGGGCCCACGTCCCGCCGTATAGTAGCCGGAAAATGTGGGGGTGGTTTTGGATTAAAGGTGCCCAATTGCCCTATCTAGGCTTATCGCTAGACGAATGTGGAAAAATGTTTTTGGGTGTCCACACAGTCCCGCCGTATAGTAGCCGGCGAAAGTGAAAAAATGATTTTTAGGTGTCCACACAGTCCTGTCGTATTGTAGCTAGCAAAAGTGGAAAAACGGATGGTTTTCGAAAATGTTTTGGGTGCTCACATCCCGCCGTATAGTAGCCGGCAAATGTGGGGGATGGTTTTAAAAAGTTAAAAAATGGTTTTTGGAAAAATATGGTTTTTGGGAAAATATGGTTTTTGGAAGAAAATGGCTTTTGAGAAAATGGTTTTTAAGAGTTCACTTCCCGCCGTATAGTAGCCGGCGAAAGGTGGAAAGTGTTATGAATTGGTTGCCCGCTATCCCGCCGTAGTAAGTCGGCAAAAGGTGGATTGTGTTGAGATGTGTGTTGAGAAGTGTGTTGAGTTGATGATGTTATTTGTGACTTGTGATGAATTTGTGAAATTGCATATTGATGTGTAATTTGGTTTAAAGAGGAAATGTGGATAGACATTATTTGTAAAGAATTGACACCAAACATGGGTATGAGGATTATAGACTATAATGGTAAACTTAATGAAGTAGTTGTGGTAACAAAAGTAAATTATAAGTGTTGTTCTGTAATTAAATAAAGGAACTTGAACTTGAAGTATGGTGTTCTAAATTAAAATAGTGAGTAGAAAGAAGAATGAAAAGAAAAGAGGGATATTAAAAATGGGAACTAAATAAGAAATATTTTGGGAATTATTTAATAACCTTTAAATGATGTTGTTTCTTAAATATGTTTGTTTCACAAGGATCTATGGTTTTCTAAAGTAAATGGATGGTTTTTAATGGCTGAAGGTTTTTCTTAAAAGTGTTTAAATAGTTTTTGAGAAAATTGTACTTTACTTATGATAATTTGGAATTATAAAATGTCACCCTACTATATAGTATCACCTTGCATGCATGATCATTTCTATCTGTGTGTTAGCCATTGATTTAGAACTATGAGATTCCTACTGGGCATTAGTGCTCACCCCGTTGTTGTTTTATCTTTTTACAGGAAGAAAGTTTGGATTATTTGATTGAAGATTTATGGAGTTCTTGAGTCCCTTTGTATAACTTAATAGTCGATGTAAAGGAAATGGATTTTGTATTTGTATTTATTTATTTGTAGCACAATACAGGATTGACATGTATTGTTGTCTTTGAAATATTCATTGAGAGAGAGAACATGTATTATTGTATTTCTATTACTCAAGGATAATGGATGTTTGTAAAAAAAAAAAAAAGACCTAATTTAAAGATTTTGGTAATATTTCTAAGTAATTAAAATTTGGGACGTGTCAGCACGTGTCTAACCACTAGTGAATATAAAAGAAAATTAAATAATTAGAATTTAGTTTTATGTTATCAATTCTTTTTAATATCAAAATGAGTGTTGAATTTACTACTATATAATTTAATAAATAGCATATAAAATCATTATATAATAATTAAATTTTTATAGCATGATAAAATTAAAATTATAAAAATAAGTAAATAATTTAACTAAAATTATTATAAATAAGTATTCAAAATGATAAGACTAAAATTATCATAATAAATAATTAGAATCACACTTTAATTGTAAATTAAAATTATTCTTTTATAACACATATATTATAACATAAAATGTTATTTTAAACAAAAAAATTGTCTGTGCAACACACTGGACATATAGGCCACGTTTGTTTGGCGGATTAGGTTGGATGAGATTATTAGTAAAATGATTGTTAGTGAAGAGATTGTTAATGCGTGGATTGTTAGTGAGGGGATTAAGTAAAAGTGTGTTTGTTTTGATAATAGTGTGGGAGATGGTTAGTGATGGGATTGTTAAATTATTTTTATATAAAATAAATAAATAAATTATTTCTATATTAAAAAAAATTAAAACAAATAGGAGCATTTGGTAAAAAAAAAATAAATTAAAAAATAATTTTTTTATATAAAATAGACTCAATCTCCTTACTATTTTCCTATCCCACCTAAAATTCACCCAAGCTAATTCCCCTACAGAGGGGGATTACTAAACTCCCTTCACTACTAATCCTATCACATTATGTTGCATCCAAATAAGGGTTTGGTAAGTTCCACGGATCGTTAATCCAATCCACCCTTCCAAACCCTCAATCAAACATGGCCATAGATAGATAGATAACAATATAAATCACATTTATTTAAAAAAAAATAATTATTATTAAAGATGTATTAATTTATTTAAAAAAATAAATAAAAGAGTTATTTATTTATTTTTATTTTTTATTTTTTATTATAATAGGATATCACTAATAGGATCCTCTCTCGTCTGTGTCACCGAAAGCCCAAACCAAGCCTCTGGTTTTAGAGAGAGAAAGAGAGCTAGATACAGATGCTTGTAGGGAAGCCTCTGGTTTTAGAGAGAGAAAGAGAGCTAGATACAGATGCTTGTAGGGAGAGAAACAAGCTGTTGCATGCTATAGAGAGAGAGAGAGGGGTTTTTTGGGTACAAAATCTGAAGATCTCTCTTGTACTCAATTGCAGAGACCACTCTTGTGATGGCTGAAACTCTGATCACACCCAATTCACACCCAGATGAGTCATCGGACCCTCCGGCTCCGCCGTCAATCGAATCTCTGTTCAGCAGAAAAGTCGATTTCCACCCAGCGAAGAAGCCATTCTCTGGGTTTAGCAATGGCAGCGGAGGGTTTCGGTTGGAGACTCTGAACCCAACTACTATCTCGGATCCACGGAGGCTCGGTGCGTCGGGCCAGGGCAGTGGTCAATCGGGTCTGGCTGGGAAGAAACCAGATGGGTCGGAGTTTTTGGATGTTGGGTTGGATCCTGAGCTCAGTTTTGAGATTACTTTTCGGAGAATTGTGAGTAGTTGTTCAGTTGATATATATGTGTGTTGTGTTTTTGGTAATTTCTGCTTTGTATTGTTCCATATATGGTTTAACAGTCTTTTGCACTTTGTTCTAGATTTTGATTGGTTTAGTTTGTTGTTAATTTCTATACATTTTTCGCTGTTTGTATTGCCTTTGTATACTTTTTCAGGTTTTTTGTTTGCTTATTGGGATTGGGTAGCTTGCTAGTTTTTCAATTAGATTATTTTTCTTTAAAATTCTTTCTCTAATTATTGGATTTGCTTATAGATTAGGCTAATATTAATTAGTATTAATTTTAATAAATTAAAAAAAATTAAAAAAGAAAGAAGAGAAGAAGAAAAAAGAAAGAAAGAAAGAAAGAACAGAAAAGAAAATAAGGAGAAAAAGAGAAGAAAAAAAAATAAAATGAAAAAAAAAAGACAAAAAATATATTATAAATGAAATCACAAATTTTATATCTTATAAGGGTAAAAAGGACATTATACAGCAAAAAGTTATTTTACAGTTTATTCAACCAAACACTATTCTACTGATTAAATTTATAATCACACAGCTGCACAAAACAAGTTAACAGCTTATATTTAAAGCTATAATCTATAATTTATTAAGCCATAATCTATAATCATCTTCTTACAGCTACACCAAACGGGACCACTGCCTTACATATACGGAGCCTTTAGCCACATATTTACAAAGTGGGAAGCATCTAAATTCTTGTGAGTTTCTATCACCCTCTCTCCCCTCATCTTGCACACAATTTACTAGATGAATTGCACTCATGATTCTGTGATGCTATATTTTCATGTTCATTATATATTTCCAGAAAAATTTCTGAAGTTGGATGAACAATTGGTGATTCAAACCTTGATTGAAATGATCTAGGACAAACCCTACCTGAGCTTGGCTCAACGTTAAATACGCTGAATGCAAAATGGACAAAGACACAACCACTTGTCTTCTAATATGTATATGTCCTTGACACAAGTACATTTTATTTTCTCATTGGTGGATTGTTTAGGTAAATATGTGTGCACATGATGCATTTAAGTTTATGCATGAGTTTCATAAAATTGGACATACATGATTAAACTTGAACTTCTTTTTTGATAAATAACCAAACTTTATTAAGAAAGTATCAAGAAGATGCAAGAAATACAAAAGAGGCCCCGAAACCTCGACCAAATTAACAAGTCAAATCCTCTACAAAATCTACAAAAGCCAACACATCTGGATCTACCCAGCTATACAAAACTATAAGAAGCCGTCTCTCTAACCAAGAAATGGAGTGAGCCACTCCATGAAACACCCGCCTATTACGCTCCAACCAAATTATCCACATTAAACAGTGCGCCGCAAGAAGCCAAGCCTTCCGACGTCGTCGTCCTACCCGCCCTCCTGCCCAACTTTGCACAACTGTGAGCACCGAACCTGATTGAACCCAAACTAAACCAAAAACTGCAATCATAAGCATCCAAAGGCGAGACGAGACCGGGCAAAGCATAAGCAAATGGTCAACTGATTCTGCTGCCCTACCACACAAACAACACCAATTGACCAAAATATGCCCCTGATGAATCAAATTATCAATGGTCAAGACACCACCCAAACTTGCTGACCAAACAAAAAAGGCAACCTTTGAAGGCGAACCCGACAACCAAACACCACTCCAGGGATAAACCCTAGCAACATCCTGTGCAAATCCATCCTGAACAAGCCTTCCATAAAAAGAAGACACCGTAAAAATATCTTTGGATCTAGGACAATCCCAAACCAAAGAGTCCTGACCTTCCCTCACAAAGTTCGATCCATATAAAAAATCCAAAAGTTCCACCAACTGATCTTGCTCCAAATCCTGAACATTGCGACGCAATTGCACATTCCACACCGTCGATTGCCCCTCCCCAAACTTGACAGCAGCAACCAACACCTCCAAATCAGCTGCAATAGCAAAGATCAAAGGGAATTTAAACTCCAAAGACAAATCACCACACCATCTATCCCTCCAAAAACGAACCCGATCCCCCACACCAACTTTCAACCGCACCCTTCTCCAAAAAGCCTCCCGACCTAACCAAATCCCTTTCCACACACCACAACCATGAGAAAGACCCACCGTACTGGAACACCACTCCCCCCTACCCAAACCAAACTTAGCAACTACCACCCTTCTCCAAAGCCGCTCCCTTTCCTCTACAAAACGTCACAACCACTTCCTCAACAAAGCCAAATTGAACAAGACCAACTTCCGAACCCCCAAACCCCCACTCTCCTTAGGCAGGCAGACCTGATCCCATGATAGTAAACGATAATGAGCACCCTCACCCCCACCACCCCACAAAAAGTGCCGTTGTAGCTGCTTAATCCGCCTTGCTACTGACACCGGAATCACGTGAACAGACATAAAATAAGCCGGAATGCTTGCTAAAACACTTTAATCAATACAAGTCGACCACCCTTTGACAAATACTGCCGCTTCCATCCTGCCAACCGCCGTTGCACCCTATCCACGATCCCATCCCATACTCGATTGGACTTAAAAGAAGCCCCCAAAGGCGGGCCCAAATATGTAACAGGCAACGAGACCACTTTACACCCTAGGATAGCGGCCGAAATCACAGATCTCGCCACCTCCCCCACCGGGATCAATTCTGACTTTGTTAAATTCACCCGTAGCCTAGAAACTGCCTCAAAACACAAAAGCACACATCTCGAGTACCCAATATGCTTCTCCTCCGCATCACAGAAAATGAGCGCATCATCTGCATAAAACAAATGAGACACCTCCACCACCCCTGGAACCACCTCGACCTCAAACCCTTTCAACAAACTTTCTTGCACCGCTCTAGCCAACAAACACCCCAAAGCCTCCATAACCAAAATGAATAACAAAGGAGATAAAGGATCACCCTGCCGCAATCCTCGTTGAGTCGGAAAGAAACCTTCTGGAGACTCATTAACCAACATCGACATCCGCACCGTAGAAATACAAAACAAAACCCAACGCCGCCATCTTTCCCCAATACCCAGCCTCTCCAACATGTACATAAAAAACTGCCAATTGACATTATCATAAGCCTTTTCGATATCTAATTTACAGATTAACCCCGGTTTCCCCTGACGCAAACGCGAATCCACACACTCATTTGCCACAAGCACCGCGTCTAAAATTTGCCTACCCCCCACAAAAGTATTTTGAGAATCCGAAACCACCTCATCTAGGACTACTCGCAACCGATTCGCCAAAACCTTAGCTAACAGCTTATACACACTGCCCAAAAGACTAATAGGACGAAAATCTCAAATATCCTCTGCCCCACCCTTTTTTGGAATCAGAGCAAGAAATGTAGCATTAAGGCTCTTCTCAAATTCACCTGTTTGATGAAACTGATCGAACATAGCCATCACCTCTGTCTTAACCACCCCCCAACAGTGTTGGAAAACGGAAATAGTAAACTCATCTGGACCAGGAGCCTTATCTCCAGACATACTATGCAATGCCGTAAACACTTCCTCTTCAGAAAATGGCCTCTCCAATGACGTACAGTCTACCTCCGAAATGACATCAAAAATTACCCAATCCAGACCCGGCCTCCACCATTCTCCTACATTCCGAAACAAATGTTTATAATAACCCACAATACTGTCCTTGACACCCTCGAAAGTTGAATATTCCACCCCATTCACTCGAATTCGCCCTATTTGATTGACCCGACGATGAGCATTTGCCATACGGTGGAAAAACTCTGTATTTCGATCCCCATCCTTTAACCACAAGCATCTAGACTTCTGACGAAAACTGATCTCCTCCATGCGAGCAAGATGGCCAAACTCCTTACGAACCTCCTCCCGGATAGACATATCTGCTGCAGACAACACCCCAGCACCTTTCCTCTCATCCAACACCTTCAATGCATAAACAACTTTCGCCTTTTGATCCTCCAAGTGACCAAAAACCTCCAAATTCCATTTTTTTAGGTCTAATTTGAGAAATTTCATTTTCTGCACCAACTAAGAACTAGGCAATCCTGCCACGCGATAACTTCCCCACAACCCTTGAATCAACTCCACAAAGCCTTCAGACCGCAACCACATGTTTTCAAAACGAAAAGGTGTTGGTCCACGTCTGACACCCCCACTATCCAGCAAGATAGGCCAATGGTCCGAAGTGGGCCGTTGTAAACGCCATTGGGTCGCTTGTAAGAAATGCTCCTCCCAATCCCCTTTGACCAGAAATCGATCAATTCGAGACATCACTCCACACCCGGACCAAGTGAAACTACACCCCTTAAGTGGAAAATCGACCAACTCCATCTCATCAATGAACAAAGAGAAACGTCTCATTGAACCTAACCCCGAAATAGCTCCCAACTTCTCTGCCATACAGCGAACCACATTAAAATCCCCTCCCACACACCAGGGAACCCCCCATCGATAAGCAATGCTTTGCAACTCCTCCAAAAAAGAAGACCTCTTCCCTCCACGTACTGGACCATAAACCCCGGTAAAGGCCCAACGAAAGTCATCCTCTACACACCGAAATAGGCAAGATAACGAGAAACCCCCCATTTCGACATCCTCCCTCACCACCACACTTTGGTCCCAGCAAATAAGAACACCCCCAGCCACTCCCAGGGCAGGAAGAAAATCCCAATCCACAAACCGGCCTCCCCACAGATCTTGCACAGTTTCCCCCTCAATACAGTCCATCTTTGTTTCTTGCAGACACACCACATCTGCCTTAGCGCTGTTTAACACTGATTTTACCAACACCCTTTTCCCCCTATCGTTCAGTCCTCGCACATTCTAAGACTATATTTTTAACCGCATGACAACAATAATGGATCACTACGACCCTTCCTTGGACCCCGCACATCTCCTCCCTTAACTCCATCATAATTAATAGAACATTCCAGCCTACGTCATTCCCGAGCACTCTTCACATTAGGACTAGCAGACATCACCCCTGACTGGGAAGGAACATTCCCCCGCCATGACTCCTCAATAGCTGAAAATAACTGCAACGCCTCAGCTTCATGGCCCTTAAAGGAAACACCTAATAATTGACTAACCTCATTAATACGAGACAATACCCAATCAGAGACCTCCTCTGGCTGCGGCATGCCATCCCCCGTACAAAAATTTTCCTTGTGACAATCATCCTCAGGATCAACATCATCGCTCGCAGCAGTATCCACCACCACCTCATCCTCCACAACTTCAGGTCGGACCACCAGAGCCAAACCATCCACCAAGTTAGCCCAACAACCCTACTTGCAGACCTCCTGTTGCAGTCGCACAGCAGAAACGCCCACTGCGGCAGTCCCTGTAGCAAGAGAAAGCTTTGTAACCTCATCCGAACCCACGACGGCCTCCTCTGGAACGAGATGCCGACCAAAACCGACACCCGAGCTAGACGACTACCGAGGACCAGTTGGCGATTGCTCGGCAAGATCCATCGACGTGCATGCCACTGGCGATGACCCGTCAAACAGATTAGGGCCGAAACCATCGCGTAACGTCGAGAAGACCCGACAAATAGTTGGGTTTGTTTGGGCTGCCTCAGTTTGGGCCCCTCCAACCCTACTTGGGCTCAAAGCTTGATTTGGAAAAGGCCCCCTTGATTTTAAAATTTGTGTAGTAGGCCCTCCATTCCAATGTGGGCTCAGAATTGTAGAGAAAGGCCTATGTTTATTATAGTTTTTTAGTAGCCCACTGCTGTTTGGGCCTACCTCCATCATTCTGAAACTTAGTCTTAGCAAAGCCCACCCGTCCCTTTTGTTGACCCTCTATCGAACGGGTAGGACCCAGTTGACTCCGTCTAGCCCTAACCGTAGCATCTTCCCCAAATCTCAGTAAATATTCCTTCACCCCAGTTCTTCGGAAATCTTCGCGATTCGATTGAACAGAATCTAGCCCATCCTTATCCGCCCCATTCGTGGCACCACCCACCGTCGCCGGTAGTGCCAACTCCACCGAAGGCCCCTCCTCCGCCCACACTGGTAAAGAAAACCGCCATGATCCCCAACGAACAACCACACACGACGGAATGCATTCAGAACTACGGATACGCAATCGAACGACACCCAGGTCCACAGATGTCTCATCCGCTTCGACATAACCACCACACTGATCACCAATAACACGATATACGGCGTCCCCACGAAGATGAAGGGGCAAACCCAGCACTCGAATCCAGACACTCTTCGCCGGCGACAATGTCCTTTGAACGACATAGAGCAAGAGGTGACCACCACTCCAACAACAAATCCCGTCCATCAGCAATCCGCCTCCGGCCCAACAATAACTTTGCCTCTTTTCGCGACGTGAAAACAAATAAGAAAGCTTGACCTCCTAATGGACGCACCTCCACCGTGCCAGATGCCTTCCACCAACGCTGAACCCAATCAAACATTGCTGCGAAACTCATCCCTTTTCCGCCCAACTGCCCCACTTTACCCACCAACGATCTGTCCAACATTCAGAACCAGTCTAACTCTGCGGTACACCGTACTGCCGTAGCCCCTCCAACCCCTCCCCGTGTTGCTAGTTGCGTAGGTTCAGATTGTGATGTAATCTTGCCATACCTTGGACCAGCAATCTCTAACCGAAAGCCTTCAAGGACGAGAGCCACGCCATCCCAACCATCCCCATAATCCGACATTGGAATACAAATTTGTTCCCTCCGCTTCCCTGTCGTAACCACTAGTTGAAACGATGAACCACCACTTTCCTCTCCACAAACCCAGACAGCCAGAGTTCGACTGCCACCACTGAGGCGACCCAGAAAGCGCAGATCGCCGGGGTCTTGCGAAGCCATCCTCAATCTCGTCACCAACCAATGCACATCATGTCCATATACCACTACAGCCCGACGAAGCCCAAGACCCCACTCGACAATCGACACACCTCGACGGCCAGGCGACTCCACCGACAACTCAAACTCGAAAGATTGGTCGCTGAGAAACATAGCATTCCTTCTCGTGAACACCAAACCCTAGTTTTCAATTGGCGCTCATTCTACAAAAGTTCAGACTACCCGCGCTAGTAGTGTATATATGTTTTGGGCAGGCAACCCTACCTGTTTTGTGTTCTCATTCTCTTCCCCCAATGGCCATGCCCATCCCCTAAATTGGCCGTAGATATTCATAATCATTTTAGAGTACTCACCAATGAACTGCAGTCGTATGCCAATCATATAGATATTAATATGCTCCCAACCCTTAGAATCAATACTTGCTTGTTCAAGATGCATATGTAGGCAATCCAAAATTTTTAACGTTGAAACAGCTTATTGAGTTGGAAGAAGAGTACACATTTAGTAATTGTCTTTAATCTTTGTGCAATTTTTGCCAAAACAAGTAAATCAGTGGTGGAGTTAAGATTTTTTTTTTTCCTGGAGTCAATCAACAACTAATTGATTATGCTAGATTTTAGTTTATATAAAATATATCAGTGCTAACTTTGTCACAATCTTATATATGTATATCCACTATCATAGAAAATGATGGAAAACAAAACCCTAGCATAAAAATTAATTCACTAAAAATTAAAACTAAAGAATTGATTTCTACAAAAATTACTTCATTTCAAAGAATTGATGAATTGAAAAAATTAAATTATTATTAAAGAAGTTTTAGTGAGACCAACAGAGGTAGTAGTGAAGAGATGCGATGCAGTGACGGTAGATGGAAGTGTTAGGGGACTGGGTAGGCCTAGATTAACGTTGGCTAGCGTTGTAAATAGAGATATGGATCTACTTAATTTGACTAACAAAATGGCCTTTGATAGAGCCACGTGGAGAAGAAGAATTCATGTAGCCGACTCCATTTGATAGGACTTAAAATTTGATTTGGTTTGGTTTGGTTTGGTTTATTAAAGAAGTTTTAGTTCAAGTTTTGTTTACTTATATCTTCATAACAAGTGAAAAAGATGTCAATCACAAAGATGTAAACTCCTTTTAAGAATTATTTATCTCATGACGTGGGATATGCGACTTGAAAGTTCACTTAAAGAGATGCTTTTGAATATGATTTTAAGCTTAGTTTCATACTTCAGGAATTTGATTCACTACTATTATTGGATGTTAACCATTGACTGGGAAAAAAAAATCCTGAATATTTAAGAGAATACTAAATTGGCACCTATTCTTTTGAAAATTTCACTAAGGTCATTTGACTCCACTCGAGCGTGTCCTGAAGTCAATAATCAGAAAATCTTGACAATTTGTAACTAATTATTGACTTTGTATCTACACAAGGAGAGAGTATTACAATTACCTCCAGGGTATCTCACTATAACCTCAAATGTGCTTAATAATATCCTTTCTTTTTGTTTATTTGTGTGTATTTTTTGTCTTGTTTTAGTATTTCTCAAAGGGGATAAATTCTTTATTATTTTCTCGAAAAGGGCTAAGCATTTACCCCAAATTTGCTGTGCGGATAAAGTGAAAATTTGCACTCCATTTAGAGTTTCCCACACTCCACTTTGAGTGTGCTTTAAAATTCCAAAATGTTTGAAGAAATGGATTAGGTAACATGATAATGGACTGCTAATAGGTCTGCTGTTATTTTTCTCTTTTTATATTTTAAAGGTTTTTTTTGGTTGTATATATGGTCTTCATTTTTTTAATGTTGATTCCTATGTCTAGAACATTTGTTTGTGTTAATATTAGTATTCTTCATACCTTAATTTATTTTTTCAATCGATTCATGAAGGTCGTACTGCTGGATTTTGTGCTTTGTGCGCTATACAGAAACATGTTAGCCGCCCTACAATTAATTGGGAGCAGCTTAGCACCAAAGGATCTCGTCTCAAACTTGCAATGTATCCTTATATTGTTTTATCGTGAATCACTTTCTTGAATTTCTGTTAAAGTTGCAAGGTATTTATTTATTTATTTTAAATTTTTAGCTTTATACATTTGAATGTATTCATTATCTGCTTTACCCCCTATAGATGGCAAAGAGGTTTTCACAAGGGAAATTTTTTTATGCACT